GGAGGAGGAGGAGGAGGAGGAGAACACAGGGAGGAGGAGGAGGAGGAGGCAGGAGGAGGAGGAGGAGGAGGAGGAGGGAGGGATCTGAAGGGATCTGACGACGCCGCGGCGGGTCTGCTCCGCCGCGCTCGGCCCACGGCCGACGGCGCCGCTCCCACTTGGGGGGGGGGGTCGCAACCTCACCCGAGCAGCTCGGGGCGGCGGGGCCCACGAAGGCCCAGGGAAAACCAGAACCGAGGGAGGAGGAGGAGGAGGAGGAGGAGGAGGAGGAGGAGAGGAAACACGAAAATGAGGAGGAAAAGGAAAGGAGGACGAAGAGCAGGAGGAGGAGGAGGAGGAGGAGGAGGAGGAGAAAGAGGAGGAGGAACAGGAGGAGGAACAGAGTGAGAGTAGGAGGAGGAGCAGGAGGAGGAGGAGGAGGAGGAACAGGAGGAGGAACACAGGGGGAGGAGGAGGAGGAGGAGGAGGAGGAGGAGGAGGAGGATGAGGCGGAGGAGGAGGAGGAGGAAAGGAAAGGAAAACCAGGCCGGGCATGGTTACTACCCCCTCCCCCGGGGCCTCGCAGGCCCATCGAGCTCCCGACTCCAGAGGGTCGCGAACTCCGCCTCGCCCAGCGCCTCCTGAGGCTGCTGCAGCAGCTCCTCGGCCTCGCTGAGGCCGTGCCTCTTCCTCGCCACGACGAGCGCCGCGATGAACTCTTGGGCTTCCACACATGGTCCATATATCTACCTTGGCTCACGTCCGCGGTAGCACCATACTTTCGAAAATTGAGGACCCTGCTGCTTCACGTAGCCGAGCAGGGAGGTTACACATGGGCCCAATGTACCACATTGTGGCCATGATGATACTTGAACGGGTTCACGACCTGCGTCAAACACTCGAGGTCGTGTCCATTACTGCTGCAAAACGTGGCGACGTGTGCCTGGGGTGTTCCCTCGCATTCGGGGCTTCCCCAGGACTTGCGTCCCGCCAGCTTGAGCAAAACTTGGCGACATGGCCTGAGGTGTTCCCTCGCATTCGGGGCTTCCTCGAGGACCATACAATAATACAGCTGAGCCCAGCATAGCTCGCAATTACCAGAATAAGATTTGATCAACTTCACAGCCTGCGTCAAACACTCAAGGCCGTAGTAAGTATAAGATTGTGCGACTTCACGACCTGCGTCAAACACTCAAGGCCGTGGGGAATGTAGTAGTGCGATATGCTATCGTCCCCAGCAGATGGCTGCACAGAACTCGAAAAACTTCCTCTTGGCAGACTGCTTGGAACACTTCATACACTCGAGCTCCTGGCCAACACGTGCTTGTCGGAAAGGAAGTAGGACATGGCATCGGTTACCTGGTGTCTCGGTGCGTCTGTTGTGTTCCACGATCAACTGATTATAATCATCTGGCGTCCGTTTTTGGCCACATTGATGTGGCCCTGACGGCATAACTCCAGGTGTACAAAGAAGGCGAGGCCACGTGCTGAAGCGTCCAATACCCGCCTGGCTCCAGTGAGCGGGCCAAGCACATGATATCCTTGCTGTCGGGCCTCTCGGTTGTGGAGAAGACGCTTCTGTTCATCAATGAGAGCTCGTCCTTGAAGGCCTTGAAACTTTCGCTCCTCGTCTGGCGTCCAGGTAATCACGTTGCGTAACTTCTGGACAGATACAACATTCCTAGTGTGGGTGCCTCTCTCCGCGAGCGCTGCCACAGATTGCATAGCCCGTGTAGAAAGATCACTCTCTCGAACAGTCTTGGCGATGTTCTCCTGGAGACATGGGACGTTCCAGATCGGCTTCGGAGGCGAGCACCAATCAGGACGAACGTCTAGGCTGCCTTTGCGGTCCGTGGAGGCGAGGGCCAAGGCGTAGATCACCTTCATCGTGTGCTGGTGGGCCACGAATGCCGCTCGACATTTGAACCCTGGAGCCTTCCGAAGTCCAAGAGGTATCAGAGCACTTATCTCGGCGTGGGTCTCGCGTGGGGCCAGTTTGCACTTGCAAAGTTGAGCCATTCTCGTTGCTGCGGTGCTGAAATATCTGGCCATACGCACAATCTTCGCATCACTGGCATTCTCTTGCGGAGTGACGAGAGGGAGGCCAGTTACAATAGTGAAGTCAATGGCAAGCTCGACCCAGGACACAGACATTGGAGCTCGCACTGTATCGTCGGCTTCCCACTGCAGTTGTGAAAAATACCATACCACTGCTGGAAATAGGGATTGCTGATAGTACCAAGCTCGATTAGCAACCGTCTCGGGTAGGATCGGCTTGAACTTCCACTCGTGTATGTTCGGCTGGATTGGATCCCATTGGTAACCTGGAAAGGCAGCCTTCGGGGACCAGTTCATCGGGTTCGTGATAGATTGATCCAGGGCCAGACCAGTCGCTGCCACCTGAGGCCTCGCGCTCGATGACGAGCTGGGCCCCCAGGGAGTAGTTGCTGCTTGGTCTGCTTCTGGAGGTGCTTTGCATACTAGTCGGCGCCGTCGTAGAGGTGGCAGGGCCGAAGGTGCTGGCTGAGGTGGTGGCGAGGAGGCTCGTCGTGGCGGTGGCTGGGGTTGCTCGTCGTCCGAGTCCATGCCCAGATGCGCCCACGGGTCCTCTTCGTTGTCCTCATCAGGTTGCACATGCTGTTGACCGTCAAGCTCGGCTCGCTCCATAGCTTGGGCCTGCTCGCACCTGGCATGATGCGAGTCCCTTCCCATCTCTTTCAGCTCCTTGGCTCGGTGCATGAGGATGACCGTCGCAGTGTGCTGGAGGAGATAACATAATTTCTGTTCTTGTCGATGTTGTTGCCGAATCGCATCTGGTAGGCCATGAGACCTTGCCGCGCGTACAGCTCCAGCATCAGCTTGATTGTTCAGCTCCCACAGGTGTCGTTCATCTTCTGGAATGTCCCGCTCCCGTCGGTGAGCTTTGACGGTCTGAATCCGAAATAGCTCTCGTCCTTTGGCATTGAGTCCAGTCTCTATGGCCTGCCAGAGGTCGGATGAACTCTTGGGCTTCCTGCCTCCGCGTTTCCGGCATCTCCTTCTGGTTGCCGCTGTCTGTCGCTATCTTCTCATTATCGCCATCCTTGTACTGGTAGTTGCAAGTTTCGAGTTCTTGCATCACGCTGTCTGCCTCGATCTGCTCCTTGTCGCCATCCTTGTACTGGTAGTTGTAAGTTCCCGCCTGCTTCTGCACCGCCACCTCCACGCGAGTCACCGAGACCTCCGTACGCGGGGGCACCGAGTCTTCCTTGAATTCCAGCTCCCCGAATGCGAACGTAACGTCGTAACCCCTGCCGTCGTCGTCCTCAACGCCGGTACCCTTGCCGCCGTCGTCTGGCGGCACTTGCACTTCCAAACTCTTCTTGCCCTGCTGGAGCGTCATGAAGTGCGGAGCCTCAGGGAGACTCATCATCCCCACTTGCTTTTGCTCCACGACGCCCTCAATAGTGTCGCTGCCCAGGCGCCACGCCGCATAGCGCTGCTCCTGAACCGCCTCGACCTTGTTGAACAATTCCGCATTCGCCTTCAAGACCAAGCTGAAGTCGTTGTCCTTGCCCTCGTACCAGTCTAGCAGCTCGTTGCCACTATCCTGTTCCTGCTCATCCTTGGAGTCGCCGTCGACGTCGTCATCCTCGAACTGGTAGCGGCTGACTCCGAGGCCGTTCAGTCCACCACCCACGGCATCGCTCCTACCCAGCCTGTAGGTGGCGTCCTCCGCCGATGCTGCACTCGACCTCGACCTCGACCTGCGATCCCTGCTGCGCTTCTCGTATTTCTTGTCGCCCTTCGTGTGCTTGTCCTTTTCCTCTTTCTTCTCCTTCTTGTCCTTGCCGGGAGCAGGAGGAGGATGAGGAGGAGGAGGAGGAGGAGGTGCAGGAGGAGGAAGAGGAGGAGGAGGAGGAGGAGGAAAAGGAAGAGGAGGAGGAGGAAAAGGAAAAGGAAGAGGAGGAGGATGAGGATGGGGGATGAGGAAAACGAGGAGGAGGACGAGGAGGACGAGGAGAAAGAGGAGCAGTGCAAACCCAAGGCTCACCAACGATATTGCAATATACCCTCCTTCCAATTTTTTTCCACAGGCCCGTACAAGGGTCCCTTTTCACTTGAAGAAGTGCCCCGTTGGAAGACAACCGTTGTGAAATGTTGAACTGTGCCAGAACACCGTTCCTGGGACTTCAGCGCCGCGGATCATCGTTACTGTTGCGTCTTGACGATCCCGAATCGTGCCACGACACCATTCGTGGGACTTCAACGCCATGAATAACATAACTGCTGCGCCCTGACAGTCCGACATCGTGCCAAAACACCATTTTTGGGACATTGGCCATTCCAATTCTTGAAGCTGCTGTAAACTTTTGAAACAAATGGGCGCAGCGCTAAGGCGTGGTCCACAATTTAAAACGGAGCTGCCCTCTATCCGTGAAATTCTTGTTAGTTTTAAATCGAATGTGCGCGGCGCTATGGCGAGAGCCACATTTTGAAAACGATCCGCCCTCCACCCGTGAGATTGCTGAAATTGTTTATGACGGGTGCGCGCGGTGCCAAGGCGAGAATCACATGTTGAAAATCACCTGCCTTTCATCCGCGAAGCTCTTGCAAATTTGTAAAACGGATGTGCGCGGCACTAGGCGAGAGACACATTTTGAAAACGACCCGCCATCCATCCGCCCTGCAACTTGCTCTTAGTTTCATGATCATAGCTGGTGGGAAATCTCAGGCGAAACGCCCGTGTCGCGTTTTCGACCGGCCCCGGGGTGTGACAGGGAGGAGGTATGCACAAGAAAGAGGAATGGAGGGAAGGGAGGCGGGTGGAGGGAGGAACGGAGGATGTTGAGGAGAAGGAGGACGAACATGATGAGCAGAAGAAGAAGACTAGCGAGGAGGAGGAGGAGGAGGAGGAGGAGGAGGGAGTGCAGGAGGTCGGAGAGGAGGTGGAGGCGGGCGACGCGGAGCCGAGGCGGGAGGGGGCGGGCGGGCCGCCCCCCGTGCCTCGCCTCCTGCGCGATATACAAAGCGGCCCCGAGCGCCCCGATGCTGGGCAGCATCTTCACCATGGAGACTCGCCGCTTTGCTTTGATTTTGGGGCAACGGTAGACCTTAGGCGATGCTTAAGAAAACTTGAATTTTCGGCCAGAGTCTCGATTGTTCTTAGTGTTTCCATGTAAATCCTAAGATTTGAATGGAAATTCTGGGTTTTTGTTCACGTTCTGAGACTATGAATTTCTTAACCCACGATTTCTTAAGCATTTCGCAGGGTGTAGGGGGGGGGATAGGCAAAGGGGGGATGCATCGACCCCCAACCGCCCATGGATCGCCGACAGGCGTCCGGAAGCCCCAACCCGCCCAGGAGGGTGCGGATTCGCTATCGGGCACCTCCCGCCGATCTATCGGCGATGTATCGCCGATTCGAGGTCGATGCATCCCCCCCTATGCCAGTCCCCCGCTATCGTTGCCCCCCATTGATTTGGATGGATGAGGGAGGAGGAACCAGGAGAATCAGAGGAGGAAGAGGAGGAGGAGGAGGAGGAGGAGGACGAGGACGAGGTCCCCCCATCCAACCGTTGCACGTAAGTCGGTGGTCGGTGGTCGCACGTCTGGGGGAGAGCCGCTGGCTTCGCCGAGGACGAGCTCCTTGCTTTCTGGGAGCCCTTGGACCCCCGTTGCGAACGTTACGGTAGGCTCGCGTCGTGTCGACCGGCGGCGACCCCGCCGCGGGCGTTCAAGGTTGAACGCCGCCAGTGGCCCGGAATCGGACTACATGGAAAGATCGGGGGATCGGAAAGCCACCGATCGTTCAAGATTGAACGATCGACGCGGTGTCAGAAACCAACGCCAGGGTCGTCACGACACGAACCAGCCGTATGCGGACCTTGGATCTGCTGATTAAGGTGCGGGTAAGACTTGAGCCCTTGCGGGCCCGTGTCATGGCGCCCACATCGCAGAGCGGATTTCGCTCGGAAGACAATGGGATGGGCCAAGACTGTCCTGGAGAATTTCGTTCCGGATTTCGAAGTGAATTTCGTGCGGGTTTTTGGGCCAGGAATGAAGACCAAACACATCCACGCGAGAAGTTCTCTTCATGTTTCACTCGCTGGTTCGGAGTTTTGCATCGCCAGAGATCCGCGCCAGAACTCCGCTGCAGCACGTCTGCAAGGTCGGTGCAGTGACCCGTGGCCGGGCCGTGGCCCTGCGGGGCCCCAGGGCTACAGGGAGCCAGGTCCTCGCTCCTGGCCTCCTGGCAAGCTCCTGGTACCCTGTGAGTGCCCCGCGTGCGCGCTCGTTCGCACGGTCCTGCATTCCGTCTCTAGGGGAGCAGAAAGTGACATAAACATAAACACTCGGAGGTCCGCGCGGATTTCTCGGATCGGCGCCGGGGCCCCCCAGCGGCGCCTCCGGCGCCGCCCCTGGCGCGCTCCGTGCGCCAGGGAGGGGTGTCCAGCGCCGCTCCGAGAAATCCGCGCGGACCTCCGAGTTTTTATGTTTATGCCACTTTTTGTTCCCCTAGTCTCGTGCTGCTTCCTCTTTGCTGGGTTTGCGCTTGGGCACTCCTCCCGAGTGCAGGCTCACAAGGGAGGAGCTGGAGTTCTTCAGGTTCGCCCTACACATGTTTACCCCCCCTCTAATTCACGTCGCCGGGCAGGTTTTTGCGGGGCGGCCCTCTTGAGGTGGGCCCTGTGTTTGGTCATCTGTTGGTGGGTCGCAGGATGCCATTCCCCTTCCACATCAGAAAGGGGAAGGGGAATGGCATCCTATATCAAAAATCCACAGATCGAAGGAATGGGGAACAAAAACTCTATATCAAAAACCCTGGCGGAGTGGAAGACAGATTCGATCAACATGTTCCACACCCCACACATCCCAGCCTTGCACATCGGAAAGGGGAAACACGACGCGTGTGTTCAAGCGGGTTGGCCCGATGGCTCCCAACAGGCTCCCCAACGGCAGCAACGTCAGGTTTCTTAAGAATGACCGCTCCGCTCGGCATCCTCAATCAAGCGGCTTCCGACTGGCCCTTCGAGCCAGTAAAGTTTGCGGATCGTTTGGGCCGCCTCCAAGCGGCCCAGGATAGTCCCCAGGGGCTCCCCTCTGGGGCGAGCCAAGGGACCCCCAAGTGACCCCCAAGCAGCGCCCGTGGGGCCTCAAGAGCGCGCCCTAACAGGTTTTGGCTGTGCGGGTTCCTAATCCGCCTCGCATCTCCTCGTGCCAGTTCTCCCCCATCTGTTCTTCCTCGTACTTGTGCTTGGCTTCCTCCTTGTTGTCCTCCTGCTCCCCTCGCTGCCCTCCCCGTCCTCCGCGCTGTCATCCTCGTCATCCGCCGCCTTGTCGTCGCCATCATCTTTGTCTCCTTTTTCCCCTTACGAGCCCCAACGACCAAATCGGCGTTTCCCGCTCTTGTCCGACGAAGGTCTGAACCTCTTACCGATTTTAGCATGCCTTTGGCTCTCTGGGGCGGCGAATTCTCAACTACGGGGGTCCATCGTCACCAAGGCAGCTCGGAGGATTACCCTCGGGACGATGAAAGCAGCTTGGTGGATGAGTAGCAAGGCCCACATGAGCTGAATGCGCATATGGTGTGCTCGTTCAGAGAAGCGCAGCAGGCTCCAGCAAGGGCTCAGGATGACTGGAGGGAGCGCCCTTGAGTTCAATCTGGGTGCCGCCGTCCCACATCGGCAGTTCACACGCTTTGAAGTCGGCGTCGCAGAGGAGCCTCAGGCGCGGTCGGCAGGTGAAGGTGCCAATTGCGAACGACTTTAGTCGAATGCGCCATGATGAAAGAATCCAGCCACGGCCACAACGCACACACGCACACACACACGCACACGCACACGCACACACACACACACACACACCCACACACACACACACACACCACATACGTGTATGTATGAAAGAGCGCGTTCTGTGGGCGCTTGGAGGGGGGGGCTTGGAACTGGATCCCCCCCCTCCCCTGGATGGAAGAGGAGGAGGGGTTCAACCTGCCCCCCCCTCCTCTCTCCCCCCCTCCTCTCTCCCTCTCCTCGGGCCGGCGCCGGTGGTAGTGGTGGTGTGATGGTTTGAACTGGTAGCGGTGGTGGTGGTGGCGGTGGTGGTGGTGATTGTGGTATGGTGGTGTGTTGTGGTGGAGGTGGCGGACAGGTGGTGGTGGCAGGTTGTGGTTGTGGTTGTGGTGGAGGTGGTGTTTGTGGCGGTGGTGGTGGTGGTGGTGGTGGTGTGGTGGTTTGTGGTGGTGGTGGTGGCGGTGGTGAGGTGGTTGTGTGGTGGTTTGTGGTGGTGGTTGGGTTGTTGTGGTGATAGTGGTGGTGGTGGTTGTGACGGTGGTGGTGGTGGTGGTGGTGGTGGTGGTGGTGTGGTACCTGGTAGATTGTGGTGGTGGTGGTGGTGGTGGTAGTAGTGGTGGGTTGTTTGTGGTGGTGGTGGGTTGTTGTTGTGGTGGTGGTGGTGGCTGTGGTGGTGGTGATGTTTGTGTGGTGGTTTGTGGTGGTGGTGGTGGTGGGTTGTGGTGGTGGGGGTGGCAGTGGTGGTGGCGGTGGTGGTGGTGGCGTGGTGGTGGTGTTTGTGGTGGTTTGTGGTGGTTTTTTTTTGTGTGGCGGTGGTACTGGTGCTGGTGCTGGTGCTGGTGGTGGGTGGTGGTGGTGGTGGCGGTGTTGGTGGTGTGGTGGTTTGTGGTGGTGGTGGTGGTGGTGGGCTATGGTGGTGTTGGGCTGTGGGTGCGGTGGTGGTGTGGCGGTGGTGTTGGTATGGTAGTTTATGATGGTGGGTTGTGGTTGTGGTGGCGGTTGTCGTGGTCGTGGTGTAGTGGTTTGTGGTGGTGGTTGTGGTGGTGGTGGGTTGTGGTGGTGGTGGTGGTGGCGGTGGTGGTGATGGTGGTAGGGCTGGTGTGGCCTTCTGGTCTTCCCGCCACCGTGGGTCTCGTCAGAGGGGTCTCGGGAGCGTCTGAGGAGCATGTGTGAAGGCTCTTGGGCGCCTCTTGGGCGTCTCCTGGAACTTCCTGAGGGCCCCCGGTGGCTTTTGGGGAGCGAGGGCTCGATATGGCGATTTGTATTTTTCCGCTGCGGCCTCTGGGCTTTCTCTGGTCATCGTCGCTGCGCCCCCACCGTTGGTGCAGCCGGCCGCCGCCATCGCAGGCGCCAGCAGCAGCACCGAGGGAGGGGGGGGGTTCGAACACTCCCCCCAGGAAGCTGGAAGAGAACAGATTGGGGGAATTTGAATATCCTGCTTCGTTCCTGGGGGGGGAGTTTGGACCGCCCCCCCCCTTGGGGGGGGGTTGGGGGACGGGGGGGGGGGTTAGGGGGGAGGGGAGCCCCCGTTGTTCTGATCGACAGCGCCGAATGTTGGGCCCCCCCCCCCCGAGTTTGAAACGCGCCGCCGAATGCTCCCAAGGCAATCGCCCGTGAAACGCGCCCTCGTACGTATACATCTATACATATGGATGCGTCATGTGTATATAATATCTCTCTCTTTTTCCCCACATGCTTCGTCGTGGGGTTATGGTTTTCTTCCCTGCCGCGCCGCACCCGCGTCTCACACACCTCCCGCCTCCTCACCCACACACTCGCACACAGCCGCACGTATGCACACATTCGCACATACAAGACGCATGTTCACTGCATCATACACCCAAGACGTCTGCACGACATACTGGGCAACACGTGAGATATGTCCCGATATGGCCGCACACGCATCATACACATACACACGGCAAGCCATGCGGCAGGCGAGCAGGCGTGGCACTTCCTCGACACCATAGGGGGTGCGCAGAGGGTGGTCCCTCAGCGGGGCCTCTATCCGTGACACGCTCGCAGGGCGTGGCAGGCGCGGCACTTTCTCGACACCGCTGGGGGGGCGCAAAGGGTGGTCCCTCAGCGGGGCCTCTATCCGTGACACGCTCGCAGGGCGTGGCAGGCGTGGCACTTCCTCGACACCATAGGGGGTGCGCAGGGGGTGGTCTCTCACCGCGGCCGCTATGCACGACAGTCGTCCAGGCACAGCATGCGTGGCACTTTCTCGACACCGCTGGGGGTGCGCAGGGGGTGGCCCCTGAGCGCGGCCGCTATC